AATTTTGGTTAAAACAATTTTATTCTTGATGTATCATATTTTTTCCACTATTTACGTTTCAAAGTTCCTTGACCTACCTGCGCATGTTTCGTTTTCTCGGAAAGATCTGCTACCAATTTATTTGTTTTTATTTTCACTTTCATCTCGGCAGCATATAGTTCGTTAAATATTTTTGTTCTAGTTCGTCCAAATGACAGTTTATTTTAATTCGCAGTTGTTTGATTTTATCTTGACACTTTTCTCGATGCTGCCTGAATGTATTAAGATCATCTTGGCGATTTTTTATAATTGTTTTAATGTTTTTATGTCTTTAATGCTAATTTCAATTGAGTCCAATAACGTTGAAGATTTGGCAGTTTTTAGAACATCCTGGAGCAGTAGTAAACCGACACAGTTTTTGTGGTTGGTTGAAATACAGGCCGGGTAACATAGTTTGTCATGATGCGGACAATAATTCTGATATTTCATATCATGATCTTCGAAAACATTGGCGATATTAGCGATTGACGTCGGAAAGTTTCTATAACTATCCATAGAAATAACATCGTATTTGCGTGTTCCTTTTGAAACACTGTGATGATCATGGCATTCCGAACATAATCCTTCGTTACATTCAGGGCACCAATAAGCTGATGCCTTTGTGATATGACGAGCTTAAAAAATTCCACAAAATTCCCTCCTATCGGGTGCAGTCATTTTATCTGTAGATGTTAACAAAATATACGCAATAATTAAGAGACCCTGATATTACCTAAATTTTACCTAGTTTTGTCTTCTTTTTTGTCGTTGGGTTGTTGTCTAATTGAGGTATACCAATCCTTTTATGTAAATAAAATAAGAAATGTTTTATTTTTACCACCAGCCAACTTGCGTCATAATATCAAATGGTACCAATTTTACTGCACCAGATACGCATGTCGACAATAAATGTTTCATCGGCGGTGCTCTATGCTAAAAGGTTTATCAAATCTATTCTAGTCTAAGACAGCACAAGTTCAGAATAGATCAAATACGTAGCTGGGCAAAGACCGCAAGAAACGTCGTTATTGTGCATATCGACATTGTTTCAAGAATACAATTGGATATTTAAAAGGAATTTAATAAGAATCAAATATAATGGTTCTATAGAAAACAGCACGAAGTATTCTCAGGCATATACAATTGTGTCAAATATGACTGTTGGTCGTCCCATAATTTTGGAATGACACAGCAGAATTTTTTTACAAAATCAACAACAGTGTTTAGTGTGTAGTAATTTGATCCATATAGCTACTCCATGACATTTAACAAAAGCCTTTTATTTATCTGACAGTCAAAGTCACAATATCCTGGAATGACAAATCGGACGGTGTTTTCCCCAACAATTAAGTTGTAAATCAACCCTATCAAACTCCAATTATAGTACAACATTTGAGACATTAACTTAAATTTGACAATTAAAGTCCCGTAATTATAAAAAGACAAACCCGAAAATATTTAAAAATCGATAGAGAGCTTTCTTTTATTAATCTCAGCACTAATGTAAGGGTTTAATGATATCAATCAATGTACACTGGATATGTGAAAAGAATTCCTCATTTCTAACGGTTAAAGTCCGGTAACTCTGGAACAACAAAGCTAAACAAATTTTAAAACTGTGGTCAATTATAATGTTGTATAAAGATTAAATGAAGTGTTGACTGATTAAAGGTAAGATGGATGGACGGATTGACGGACGGACGGACTATGTTATACCAAAACACCAACCGTATTCGACAAGCGTATACAAATGAATCAGATATCTGGCGCCGATACCAAAATACAAATAGCGGATAAGAAATGAATGTGGCAAGCTCATAAGAGGTAACTGACAATTCATATGTTCTGCATATTGATATTGAAAATTATCAACTGCCAGAAACGAAATAAACTGTTTGGTTAGTGAGCGCAACGACCGAGCCTTTAAAGCGTTATTTAGTGTACAGCATTCAAGACAAATCTTACAGCAAAGATTGTAATTAATGAGATTGCAATAGTGGGGTTTCCATAAAAGAAACAATAGTGTTTAGTTGTATAATTGGAAGAAGTCTCCAGACGATGGCGTTCTGGTTGTGGCTGCAATGTTGGTTCGAATAATATGACGTTGGGGATAAGATCAGGTATAGGTTATTAAGACATAATCAAACACATTGAACGTCACAAAGTCATGATGTGAGGTTTTGTGAACAACTAAGCTGGGTGATATCGGTAGATGGAAGTACAATTACAACAGTAAACAATCTATTGTTTTTGGCTGATTTTTTGACACTCACTCCTCCAATTTGAATCACTTCTTATTACATCGTTCGATGCACGATAGAAATATTTGATAAAATTACAATAAAGAAAATAATTGAAAATCATTGAATAATATCGTCAAAATTGTTTTTATCAAAGAACATTATTGACACAAAATACAATTTGAATATAAAAACTAAATATAATAATTTAAATAATAAAAGCGTTTTGGAGTGTCTTTGAACATATTTTCTATATACAGCCAAGTAATAATCTCCATTGATTTTAATCATCAATGTATTCATCGAATCGAACATTAACAAAATACGAATAAGAAATTAAGACTAAATTAGACCAAATAATTTCAAAATGATTGTGTCCTATTTACTTTGTTATGTTTGGCATACTTTGAAAACCCTTAAAACCAATATTTATGGCTACCTGTGTTTGCCAAAGGTATTTTTTCCCCTGTGTATTCAAAAAAAAGGAAGTTAAAAGTCAAGGTAACAAAGTTCAAAGTTTAACCAATCAATTAACGGTATTCAGAACATAGGTTTAAATAATATAACACAGTGTATTAAACAGTACACAGGCACAATGAAGGAAAGAGAACTCGAGATAAAAAGTTGATGTTAAATGAAAATACTGTGATACTAGAAACGTTCGTGCTTTTCTAGATTTTCCATAATCTCGGAAACACAAACCCAAAAATATATAAGCCACGGATGTATAAGTTTTGAATACATGAGGAGCTTTATGACTAAAGTGGTACTAAAACAAATAGCCCACATTCCTATAAGGTAAATTTTGCTTGTAGGAGATACATCATCAAATTCTTAACTATTTATGAATTGATCATCGAGGAATTTAAGAAAAATGTTAAAATCATATTTGTACCGATTCACTGATTGCAAAACTAACGATATTAATCCAGTATAAACAATCAAAAACATCACACAATACATAAATAAAGACGGTATAAATATTTTATAATGTTTAAAGTCCGTATCAAAATATGCATGCATTATAAAAGAAAAATTGAGTTATCTTTCTTTGTGCCTGATTTTTTGTAGTTTCCACTTGAAGTGTTTTACAGGGTTTTCTAATCAGAGAGAAACAAGTGAGAGCAGACCAACATGATGTACACAAGGTGTGTATCTCAATTTAATATCAATGCATACATGTATATATGAACTTAAATTACTAAAGAAATTTTCTTGTATGTATGAAAATAAAAAAAAAAACATTAAATTGCTTTATTTGTTAGCTGTATTAAAAGGTTCAAGATTTAATCAAGGATTTGTATATTAACACTACTGTACAAATTGTTGAACCTTTTATACCATATCAGTATTTAAGATAGAAATGACAGTTTTTAATAGGTAATTTTTTAAATTGCAGACAGAACAAGTTTATTTATTGTGTCAGTGTATGATATATATTTATATAAGCAAGGGTTAATTAAATGTTAAAAATGACTGGAAATGTGCAATAATATCATAATTCTAATCATTGGTTTATAAGTGAAAAGTGGGATTGCTAATGCAAAAATCAATTTTGTGTAAATTTGCGATGGAATCATTATTAAATGAGGGTTAATGTTCATGCAAATAAATACTTTTACGTTTAGTACTTATATGACAGCTCGTTTAAACAGCGACATGAATAAAAATGAATATAATGAATAGTAAACATTATCAAATTCATATTAGAATAACATGATTGTTAAAAAAATCATTTACTAGTAACTTCATTTCATTTTATTTCAGAAAGCTCATCATCTGATCAGATATATTCTTCTGAACCTTTCAACTCACCAATTCCAGAACATATTTCTAATGCGAGATACCAGACAGCTGATGGTAATTTTACTAAGATATTTGCATTTTGTTTTGTAAATTATTTTTACAATTATGCATTTCATAAAATGAAGATGCAATGGTTTTGTGATCAATATTTTATATAAGAAGTAAGGTTTTTATATATGGCTGTGTGAAAATTTATATATATGAAATGAATCATGAAGGATCTTATATATGGTCTCTGTCAAAGCATGCTTTAAGCAAATCTTTTAAAATATATATTGTTAAACGTAACCGACATTGAAACAGCATTTAGACGTTAATTAATAGTAGCATTTAGTCATCATTTTGTCAACATTTTTGAAAATAGTCATATATTTTTGTACATAATTATTCATGAGTGAAACTGTCAAACTACGTTATTGGTCAGTTGTTACTAAAGCACACAAAAGCCCCAATTACGTGTTTTGTTAAGGGTAAAATTTGATAAATAATTGTATTCCTTTAAATTTCAAAAGCGCCGATTACATGTATCAATGAATTAAAGGCATTTCGTACCCTAACCATTTCGTACTATTTTACATTCTATGTATACTAGTAACATATTTTTAAAAAAGTTAGCAAGTCATTTTGTTCTGTGTTGGGTGCTTTTGTCCGTACTGATGATTTTGCTTTGACGTCCAATAACAATTTAAGAGTTTTTCCTGAGCTACTTGATTTTGTGGTTGTTAAAGAAAAAGGTATTCGAAGGTACAATCTTCGAAATTTGAAAGGTCATTTTGGTAAATGCTCTTTAGTATCGTTAAATTAATTTCCCCCAATTATCTAAATATTTATATATAACAAATATGTAATGTGTCCTTTAGAAAACAGTGAATTTTGTTTCCTTTTAACATATGATACATGTTTTTTTTTTTTTTTTAATTTTCAGTTATGAATGATCATAACTATATGTAAACTGAAACACTTAACATCAGCACTCGACCGAAAATTTTACAATATTCAAAAGTAGAACTCGGTCCACAAGGACGTGAAATATTTTGCAAACAGAAAATTTAAATATTTTCTTTAGCGTCAGTACACTTCTTTCGACAAAAGGGATTAAAACCTTGTATTAATAATGCTTTTAATTGTGTTCACGTTGTTGTTCTTTACAGAAGAATCGTACGGTAAGTTATAAAAGTTTTGGAGAGAAAATTTGTAAAAAAAAGTTTATATTAATATAAGTATAACATGTATGTTTTCCATGGTTTTGTTTTGGCAATTTTTATCTGTTAAGAATTTAAAAGGTTTATTAAATACATAAATCATCCCTACAGTTGTTCATGAAGCTATCTGTCGTACATTGTATTCAGATTTATGGTAAAATGAATTGGAACTGTTTCCTTTACCTTAAAGAAAAAATGTATGCTCAAAACATCACCAAGCGTTCATTCTAGAGAACGTCCAATACGAACAATTTAAAAACTAGTTAAGATTCAATAAAAATACCGGCTAAGTAGCTAGTTCTTTTGTTCAAACATTTGATATCATTGAACTAATAATTAACTGTTACCAAATGTTAAACTCTTCGTAACACTTACACAATAACTGATTAATGTCACAACACAACTGGTCTACATATTTGCATGTCCTTTTATTATGACAACACTTGACATAATTAATTCTCAAAAAATCATTTCATGCCTAAAACAAAATTAGACTATTCTTATGGCAAAAAGTGTGACAGGATTTCATCTTATGCTGTAAAATAGTAGAAATTCCTTAAACATGTTAAAATGTAAAACAAATCTAAATAAATACATTTAATTTCTTATCTATAAACCAAGTTCTTACTCTAACAAAAATCACACAATATTCAATTAGACAAAATTTGAAATATTTATCATGTCATTCTGTATTACCTAAATTGTCTATCAATTGCAAGTAATCAATACGTACAGAACTGTTATCGCTTTTAGTTCTGAATCGACATTTGACAGGTGCAAATCTAAGCCATTTTAGTCGATTTGCATTTTTTAAATTGACTTGTAGTGATAATAATTACACTATTCATTGTTCGAATGTATTAGTTTCTATCCAAAGAAATATTTGAACACAGACTGATAATGATTGCCAAAATTCAGAATACTATGATGTAACAAGCATTTAGAAATGTATTTTTGGAATTTTGGGTCCTCAATGCTTTCAACTTTGTACTTGTTTGGTTTTATAACTATTTAGATCTGAGCGTCACTGATGAGTCTTATGAAGACGAAACGCGCGTCTGGCGTATTAAATTATAATCCTGGTACCTTTGATAACTCTTTTTGTCTCACTTTAAAAACTATTTTAGAAGAAATATTATTTGTCTATTTATTTATTCTTTCGATTTTTTTTCGCCACACAGACGATATGTTTTAAAACTTAATATATCAGCATTATCTTTCTATCAAAAGGTTCAGTTTTTTTGCTTATAGTATACCTACATTAACATAAGTAACTTATTTTCTTTAGGAATACAGTGTATACATTGTACAGACATTGTGCTGAATAGTTCTTCTATCCCATCTGCATTTAAAGTTGCAATGCAGGCATACAGAACACCAAACTGTGAAAATGCACACACAGCCTCGACTTCCTCGGGCATAACATTGAGTAATTGCACAGAAGTTGCAAGCTCGGGACAAGTGAACAAATGTGGAAGACTGGTTGGATCACTGTTGGTTTCGAGTGGTTATTCTGTAAATAGATTAGGTATTGATTAAAAAATTTAAGACATTAGCAAAGTTCTCTATTATGATAATTAAATTTTGAATTATATAGAAGTAGAGATAGGGTAAAATAAAGGACGTGAACTAGAAAGAACATCAGAAATATACATTTTTTGGTCAAAGTCGAAAAATATCACTGGTTTTAGGGAAGGGCGAGAATCACCGAGCTTTATAACAATATTCGTGCCGAATACACAACAAAATGACATTTTTTAGACATTGACCTAATATTTTTTATACTGCAGCTGAATATGGTAAAATTAATGGAAATGTCGATAAATATATCAAATACAATTCCATTTACAAATGAGCCCCAGATTGAGAAGAACGTGATCATGGTGATATTACATTAAATCGACATTGTACGAAAATCCCTTTGCTATTGTATCTGGTAGATCAAGACAACAAGAAGAGTTCTAGCTGTAGTATAAAAACGACGAGAATGTTAAATTGCATAATAATATCCCTGGATAAATGATGGTTAAACTTAACACCCTGATTATCTCTCTCGATCTACATTAGAAGTCTTTAGCGGGTAGAATGAACTCCAGTACACGTGATTGTATTGGACCGTTGACAAAGATCTGTGGAACGAAATCGATTTTCCTTATTTTTGTATTTTTACCTCCTTTAAAGAGTTGTGTCTAAATATTGTTTACATGTTTTTCTTTCGATCTTATTTCGTTTTATGTAACTTGGTTTAAAAAGAAGTCGTTGGTTGTATCTTGTGTTTTTTTCACATTTGAGTTTCGTGATTTACTGTTCGTGTGTCCATTAATGGTGGCTGTACAAAATACATATTACTATATTGGTGTTTTGTCATAAACAAACATCTTAATTTTTTATCGTTTGTGTCTTACGTGTTAAAGATATTTATTACATTTGCAATTATACCATGTCTCATAACTAACATGGAACCATTACTGCCAATTGAGGGACATATTCTTGACTCTGTCAAAACATTCATTGCATATGTTTACTATGACAATCACTATATTATGTCATTTATATTATAGAATTACCTTATTACTTTCACATCAGAGGATGTTTCACCGTAGATCAGTCATTAGAAAGAGGATGCTACCGAAACCGTAGGATTATTGATCAGAATAGAGGTCATTTTTCCGATTACTTTGAAGGAATGGATTCCTTGAAACTAGGAGAATTTAATGGGGTTCTCTGTATCAATGGAGCTAACAACGTGGATCCATGGAGGAAAACCAACGTGGCAATAAGGCATAGTTATTGCTTGGTAACTTTAACTGTGTTTGTTATGGTTTATTGTTTATCCTAGACAAAACAAACAAAAACATAATTATTCTGAATCTAAAAGAAACAGCAATTTATGATATATTTTGTTTTCTATTAGATTTGTAATTTGGTACTTCCGTTTAACTTGTATTCCCCAAAAGTTTGTTTTGTATTGTACGACAATGTTGATTTCAAAAGACATAGTACTATATTGCTTTGATTGATTTTACAATGTTTTATATGTCTCTAGAAGTCTGGAGCGTTCATATTTTTTTTTATAGATTCACACTTCATGACTGCAAAAGTATTATTTTAAAACCATTATGACTTTTTTATATTTCATTTTCCTCCTGAAACGAACAACGTCATGCCATTATACAATATAATTCAAGGCGATGTGATATGATTGTCAATGGACAACTCTCCACCAGATACATAATGATATAAAAGTTAACAGCTATAGGTCACACAACTGTTGTAAGTAATGTACTAAACCAGGCCAGAAGCGGCAGCGTAATTATTCAGTCATTCGAACGGGTACCAATTTACAAAATTCACTTCATCGTATAGCATTGATACTATTTATATATATAAACTGAATTATGGATTTTTGTTTGTGATAAAATCACAAAACTACAATCAAATAATAATATATTACTTTAAATGTTTAATTTGTAACTGTTTCTTTCTTCCATTGTCTCATAATGTGTTCTTTCAGGATTCCAAACTATAAGTAAAATTCTTTTCGTTTATTTTTTGGTCACAAACTAATTATGTTTATATGACAATAATGATATTATAATGTATTCTTTTATACGACGAAATAACGTCCTCGTGGGTTTCTTTCATCATTTAAGGACCTTTAACAACATTTATTTTACAAAAATTCTTTTAAAAGAGATAGAATTTTAAAGTGGGTCATTAAACAATGAAAAATAAACAGATATTTATTAAATATTTTTTTTATCACGAAAAAAAAATCATCCAACACACATTCAAAAATTGAAAAACCGTCTTCACCGACTATATCTACTTTTAATTGAAAACTAAAATGGATCTTTAAATAAAATGCATTGATATATTATATATAATTACATGTGTAACATATTCCCGCTGAAAATAGTATTCATGTAATACATGTAGTTAATTGCTATGTTTGTAGAATACATGTACTACTTTTGACTGAAAACTGTCATATCGCCCGATTCTATTCTTGGGTATTGACCGTTCGTGTACATGTGATAGTTTTGGATTTGCTTACACTTTGTTTTGCAAGAATTTACATTTATATTTATTGTATAACATTATCCATAAAATACTCTTTAGCATTCAGTATCTTTGTTGTTGTTTTTTTTTTTTTTTTTAGAAAATTACAATAGATATTTCATATATTTCCGCTGTTTAGTTTTGTTAGTTCTGTTTGGCAATTCTACATACATATTTTGTCACTACTTTCGTTTCTTTCAATCTTAGTCTTATTAGATATCTGAATTCATAGAATTTCCTTTGAGATCATTGATGATGTCGATTTCCGTTCTAACTTGCTCATGTTGCTACCCTGAGATATTCATCATCTATTTCATATTTCTTCTACTGTCTCTTAGTTACATTCAATAAAATTGAGAATGGAAATGGGGAATATGTCAAAGAGACAACAACCCCACCAAAGAGCAGACAACGGCCGAATGCCACCAAAGGGTCTTCAACGCAGCGAGAAAATCCGGCACCCGGAGGTGGTCCTCAGCTGGCCCCTAAATAAAATTGTGTACTAGTTCAGTGAAAATGGACGTCACACTTAACTGCAAAACATATAAATGAACTAAAAAAACATACAAGACTAACAAAGACCAGAGGCTCCTGACTTGGGACAGGCGCAAAAATGAGGCGGGATTAAACATGTTTTGTGAGATCTCAACCCCCCCCCCCCCCTATAACTCTAGCCGATGTAGAATAAAAAAACACATAGCAATACGCACACAATGCCACAGGCTGCTGATACCACGACTAACTTTTCCATTATACCATCGTTATTGACAATTTACCTCTCAGTATGCATTTTCTCCCCCACTATTTTCTCGGTTAGGTGAGACTGTGATTTCCAAAGCATTTTTTCCTGACTCATTTGACTTGTTATTTTTGATATTTGAGAGACTTAATTCATCTAAACATGTTAGACAATTTGTTGAATAATTGACATAATCTGAGATTGTTATTATTTCCTCTTTTCTGTGTATCTAACGAGAAAACCTGGAATCACTGTAATTAAAATAACATGAAGTTTTCGTTAAATCTTACTGCATACATAAATATCGAATGTTGGAGAAACGCGAATACACCAGTGAGATCCATAATAATACTCTGTAACAAAAAATTGATTATTCAAACTTGGGTTTTATTATTGAATAGGTGATTGGCATGATTGGTAAGACTTTAAAATTCAAACAACTCATAAGTAAACCCGTTTTAGACCAAATTAATTGTGTTGATAGAACCAAAAAAAGTTGCATAAAACATCATGGAAACATGTGATACATGTAGATCTGTGTTTTTGTATTTCATTTTTGTTTTTTGATAAGAAGAAGGAGTTAATTTTAGCTAACATAAATGATAAAGAATATTCTAATATGACCAGTGGGTTGTTAGGATGCTGCAAGCGGACAAGTGGTGTTGGTGTTGATAATGAATTAATATTTGTAGGTAAATACACTCATCATAGATACCAGGATTAAAATTGTAGGTAAATGATTGAAGTATTTGATCAATAACAAACTCCAATTCTTGATGTATACTAGTAATGTATTTTCTCAGTCGAGTGTGTGTAATTCCAATGGAAAAAGTAGTTCGTGTAGACATAGCGTCGGAATCCAATTATTTGTCGATTGATTATAATAGCCTATATATGCTATAATCATGTCAGTTTTAACCACACTCCAATTAAAATTTAAACACAAAGCATTAGTGATCAATATAAAAGATATAACTTTAATTATTCATTGAATTACATGATTATATTTTTATTTTTACGTGTTCATAATTATTTGTACACGGCTTTTAACTTGTTTAATGTTTTGAAAATTAACGTCCATGAATTTTAACCTAAATCTGTCACAACACACAATATGAAACTAAGAATATACATATCGTCCGTCAAATAACTTCCAAGTAATTAGTTTTCCCTTTTATGTTTAAACGTTTATCTAGAACATCAAGATCACATATTAATTACGCAGGGCAGTCCGTTATTTACATAAGAAACATAGATTTGTCCCTCATGTAACAGGTAAAGTTTATTGTTTTCCCTTAAAATGACTTTGAAAGGCAAGTTATACTCGATTTCAGACGCTATTGATTTATAGTTGTACACTAAACTCTCCTAATTGTTGCGTGAACTAATTCCGGATCGTTTGATTTAAAAACATTCATTATATATATATTTTATTGCCGAAAAAATCATTTTTGTCATGGAGTGTCTTAATGTTTAAAATTTCATATTGGAAAATATCTTCACTACACGATTCATACTTTCCATAGAATAAGTCAAATTTTTGGTTGCACATTTCTCCAGAGACGTGGTTTCTATATGTCTAAGTTTTATTATTAAGGTCTTTCCTTTTCCATAAGGGAAATACCTTACTGTATTAGTATTCTTTTTCCGCCAAACTTTGACGAAGTTAGCAGCCTTAACCGTAAGACATGTCGATTTCAGGTTCAAACTTTGTATCGGTGTCATAAATATCTATCCGGAACTTACCCTGTTAGTCGAAAAATTTTGTCGGTCCGGAGTTATCCCCCCAAAACCTTAAAACCTTGTTATCATTCAAACACCGTAACCGTAATAGGTAGAAAAAAACCGAAGGGTGAAATTTGTTCAGGGTCAGACCCTTGTTCTTTTTTACATTTGGATCGAAAATCAACAACTCATTGGTAGGGTTATGCCCCTTTGAAAATTAACCGATGTCGGTTGGCCACTAAAACTCAGAAACCGTAAGTCGTAGACACCTAGGATCTTCACCAATGACCATCAATCCATGTGACTTTGAAAAATGCCTCAAGGTCAAATTTGCATGTTGACCTTGACCTTTGACTTAGCACCTTGTTATGGGATAATCTCAGAAACCATTATACTTACAGAAGTTTTGCATAGTGGGAAATGTTCGGGTCATTAAGGACAACGTTGTTACGGTTTGATCGAAGAGATTTGACCTTTCTGTATGGGGCATAACCCCTGTTTAAGGTTTCTGAAAAGACAGAATCAGTTTTTACTATTTAAACAAAAGGTCCTAGACCCATGGGATCTACAACAATGACATAAGATACCAATGACCAAGGTCAAGGTCATGTCCCAGATAGCGAATTATGTGTTTTTGACCTTATTTAAAGGATTTTAAGTGTGATTTTTTAAAGCTTTTGAAGGTTAACCTTGAGCTTTTAATTGGGTATCTCAAAAACGATAATACTTACAGAAATTGTTAATAATGAAAAATGTTTGGGTCATGAAGGCGCAACTTTTTTTACATTTGACCGATGAGATTTGACCTATCAGTTAGTTATATAACCCCTGTTAACTCTTGAACGAAAGATCCTAGACCCATTGGGTCTTTTGTAATGACATCGTGGACCAATGACCTTGACAAAGATTATCGATCAAAAGTCAAGGTCATGTCCGAAAAAAGCGGATCATGTGTTTTGTGTCATATTCTAAGGGTTTACTGTGTGTTTTAGAGCTTTTCAATGCATTACACGCCTTTTGAAACATATATTTTACATTACGAAAAGGAGAGACCTCTCAATTATTCAAGAACAATTGACATTTTAATTTAAATTTATATTTCATAAATATTAGGCGTTGTAAAATATACGAGGGAGAAAATATTAAAAAACAGTGTCGAGAATACCAGGGGTATTTAATTGAAATGACGTAAATACTAACAACACACATACAAATACAAATTGAGCAACAATCCCCGATAACAATTCAGGATTGTACTCAGATATTCTAGAGCAGTAACTGCACTAGTGAAACCCGTTATGATATTACGGTAACAATAATTTGATGAGTGATACTCGGGAATTTAACAATAAAAAATAGTTGACCGGTTTATAATACAAAATTAATCTTCAACAATAAAATTGAGAATGGAAATGGGGAATGTGTCAAAGAGACAACAACCCGACCAAAGATCAGAAAACAGCCGAAGGCCACCTATAGGTTGTTGGCCAAATTGATTCTATTGGTAATATTAAATTAGAATTTAGTGTACCATGAACAGTGAACAATGTCATTGTTTGCCATTATTAAAACGGACACTTACAAATATATTTTCAAATCACATATGAAATTAAGAATTTACAAAATAATACATTTTTTGTTTTAAATTTTCTCTCAAAGAAATCGTGATTTGAATGCAGGCCACCATTATTTATAGTTATAACGTACTGGAAGTTATATTCCAAATTAACTTTGTGTTGATAAAAGCTTGTTAACAGGTTAATAAATGTGATGGACAACCCACGGTTCCTATGGTTAAATATCGAACTTTATTTGTTGTTTCTTAGCCTTTTCTATTTTCGATGTTAAGCATCATAATTTTTCTTCTGGTTCAGATCATTTTGTGTAACTGTCTTTGGGATTTCTGTTACACCTGGGCATATAATTGCTATTGTCTCTTTCTACTTTAGATTTGTATATGCGATTAGGTAAACTTTTTGTGCAAGTGTCTTCTCTTTTTTTCGGACAGTGTTTGTCGTCGCGACGTATTGTGGCTTCTGCATTTTATTTCGTCTTCGAAGGTTTGCTAGAATTTGTCGGTCATTTTTGTATACAATAACTGAAGGCAATATTGCTGATTTTGCCAGATGGAAAATCGTTGGGTGTGCGCGATAAGTTTAAATAGTCGGCAGGTCTGTTTGAATCCATTTCTTTTCCTAGCGTGATTTCTTATTGTTCAAATTTTTTATCCGTGTCGAAACTATTTTAATGTTTCTTTGTTGTTTTTTTTTCGTATGGTAAGCATTTTGGATTTCTTGCCGTATAATACATCTTGCTGACATGATGTGTTTTACATTTCCCCACTTTGTACTTAAATGGTTACCCTTCCGGAGCACCTGAGATCTCCCCCGGTTTTTTGGTCGCGTTTTTGTTGCTTAATCTTCTTAATTTTTTATATTGTGTGTTTGTGTACTGTTGCTTTTCGCCGTTTTTGCATTATTTCTCATGGCATTTTCAGTTTGTTTTCAACTTATGATTTTGAATATCCCTTTAGTATCTTATCGCCTCTTTTTTATCATCCACTCCACTTTTATTGTATTTAGATAGAACACACGGTGAATGAT